CTTCAGAATTGAGGCAGGCAGTTCAGTCGGCACAATGTCTGGGATATGTGCGTTTTAAATGCCATCGATTGTTCCTTTTCCCTAAAGGGTGGAACTTGTGTAAGACTTGTGCAGACTGGGCCATGTTTATCAAGAAAAGGGTTTTAATTAAAACTCCAGTTTCTGAGCTTCCCATTGGCAGTTGCCATCTTGCTGAAAGTGACATACTCAGAATCAAGTGGGAGCTCAGACTGCAGATGAGTGTGCATTTTGTTACTGTACTAATACTGTCCTATGGACTCTTCTGACTTGGGCCCCAATTCAGAAACGTGCTTAAACAAGTGCCTGACTTTAAGCATGTGACTAGTCCCATTGGAGTCCATTGGGTATTTGTAAGCACCGCACTGAATCCAGACTTTGGACCAGGAATTAAGTGGATAGAAACTGGCGTATTGTCCTCAATGCTGATTACTGCCGCGGTCACAAACGACATTGCTTGTTAACGAGATGGCCACAAGTAGCAGATGATTCAGGGATGGCAGTCAGTATTGGCAATCAGATGAGTAAGTGGAGGTAGTGTCTTAGAAGGGCACAGCAAGCTCCCATGTGCTGTGCGATGAATTGAGGGGTACAACAAGAATACCTCCACAACAAACATCGTGCTTTATGGCATGATGTCATTGTTCAGCCCCTGACATGGCGTAACGCACAAATTCCCCAATTCTTCTATGCAGTGATACAGCGGGAACAGTCAAGGGTAAAAATACTCGCATCATAAAATGCCCCTGGATGAATGGGCACAAAAAACCATACCATGTTAAGGTTGCCAAGTGCAGCAGTAACTTACGACAGGCACTTTGCTCCACAGAAGGGTGTCATACAGCCTGAGTGGGCATTCAGATTGCTGTGAAAAAGGAAACAGCTTTTATTTTCATTTAATGTCCATTATTAAAATATGTGAATATCCTGGGATCAAGCATCAGGGCATATTTGTTAGCATCGTGTTTATTCATGCAAACAAAACATTCTATTCAAGCCGAGCTATATATCGCACTGTCATCGGCAAATTGTGTCTTGTTGAAAATCTATCAGAGATAGCTGATTTATCTTGCATGTGCTGCTTTACAGAAAATAGAACCCCAGCAAACTCTTGTGCCATAATGATTTTCTGTCTTTCTTGATGAGACATAATGAGATAAATTCAAGACCTTTTTGAAGGCTAATTACATATTGTACACTCTAGACATCAGTTGTCCCTGTTAGATGATGTGCATTTTTTGCTTTCATTTCATCTTCTCTGTGGTCTGCGTCTGCATGTGAATTTGGCTTAGCTTTGAAATACAAATTGGGATTAGGGAGGAACTGGGTGTATTTTTTCTCCCCCAGATCTTTGCAGATATTCTACTGTAACCCAATGCATCATTAGAGATCAGGCAAAACTTGGAGGTAGATGTGAAGTAAATAAAAGGCCTGAATTTCAGGCGTGGAGCTGGGGATGGTGCCATAAACCATGCCAGTTCTTGAGTAGTTTATGAACAACCCTCCAGAATAAATTCAAATCTGAGCGTGCTTTAGGGCTCTGTGTTTCTGTTATTTATACGGATGGTTATGGCCAGATTTTCAAAAGTTCTCAGCACCCACCACTGGGAGCAGATTTTAAATACAGTTTAGCCCCAGCTTATTTAGGTGCCCAAGTGGAAATAGCTCGGTGCTGAGCTCTTTGGGATATTGGGCGCTTAAATTTTCATTTTAAATTTAAAGATGTAGCCAATGATTTTAGTTTCTTGTTCATTTCTTGTGTGATGTTATAACTAACTAACATGTTATGTCAGATATAATCGTTGTATGCTAAATAGAGTTAAGTTATAGGATTATAAAAGTACAAGATTGATCAGTATGTAGAGGGAATAATCATGTATTAGGTATCTAAGTAAATAGGGCTGAAATGCAAGACCTGTAGGCTGAGGACTGCAAGATTTTAGCTTAGCCATATGTAAGCCATAGAGTTAAGGAACGCTGATATAAGTAAGTGACCAAAGAATAACCTGATGCCCTAAGATTACTAGAAAAAATATACCAATGGGTGATATTGCAAAGATACCGGGTAATCACATTTTTCTAACACATGCCCTAACCGCAGAGTGCACTATGTGCAGAAATGCTAATGATGTATAGTGAGAATCACATTATAAAGGAGGGTGCCTAGATTAGGAAAATTGAGCTCCCTATGGGAAACTCCAGCAGGAACCAGCCCCTCTACTGATAATCAATCCATGAGAGACCCATCAGACGCTAACACTATTGTTAAGGACGTGAGTAGAACTATATTTGTAACTTGTGCATCGGTCTGCATAGAATTTCTATATGCTTGGGTAATCATAACTTTAATTGTAACGTTAATAAAACTTGTAGAACAGACTAGACCTTGGACTTGTGAATGTCTGTGCGGTCACTACCCTTGGTCTTTATGTGTCCTTAGAGACTCTACATCTAAAGCAAGTAGCAGAGGTGACTTTCACTCTCTTAAGCTTGAAACTGTAGCCACCGAAGTCGAACCCGTGGTGGTGTAATACCACGTTACAAAATTCACATTAAATACAATAAAAGGCTACAAAGGTTACCCCTTAGCCTTTTTGAAAAGCTAAAATTCCTTGTCAATATCATGGACCAAGTATAATGATTGCCCTTAAACACTTCCCCATTGTCTTCAATATATAACATTCCCTAAGTGTATGCACCAATCCCTTTTTGAAGTGTAAGGAAGATTAAGAACTACTGCCGCTGCTAAGGCGACCATGTCTAAGGTCGCTGTTTGTTGGTTGGTCTCTCTCTTGTCTTGTCCATCTTGTAATCATTGTATTCACTCTGTCTCCTCCTCTCCAGAAGCAAGAACTGTCAATCACCCATGGTATATAGACCATGGAAATATGGAGGATTTCTGTGTATTCTTACCACACTGCCATGTTTCTTGTTTGTTTCTGAATTGCAGCCACATTTGCAGGAGCTGCAGTTTTAATCTAGGGTGACTGGTTGATTTCAACAGCACTGTTTTTCCCTATCGAGGGTGCGGGGGGGGGGGAGGGGGGCGACTGAAATCAGAGTAGCTTTTGCATCACCCTGTTGTCATGATAACTTCTTAAGGTATTGTGCTATCGTGTCCAATCAGAAGAAGCCAATGTACAGGAGGTGTGATAGATGAAGAGTTGTGTGAAATCTTTCATATGTGCAGAGACTAGAAATTGGCTAACTGCATAATTTACCTTGATCCACTAAAAAAGAACAAAAAAAATCCACACTTCATCCAACATGATGGCAACATTTTGATCTCAGATCCATGCAGCAGATCTTAAAAACTGCTACTGTAGTTGTACATCATGTTGTTGTGGTGGTAGTGAGGATTTTAATAGTTGCCAATACACTGGATTTTCTTTGCACAATATTTGCCAGGCAAGAACTTTGAATGACAGATTGAAAGTCTTTTTTAATTTCCATGTACCTTCTGTAAGTATGTCTCAGTGCCTTAGTAACAGGATGGTCATAATTATTTTACAGTGATTCTCAAGGAATCAGAAAAGTAACAGCATTTTTGAGCTGGCAAACTGGATGTGTGTGTCTATTTTAGATTTCAGAAATGGCAGGAAATCAACTTCCCAAAAGGATCTATCTGAACTTTAATTTTCCTTTACTGCTGATTGTAGATCCAGCAATTAAAGAGCTAGTTTGTTTTCTTTTAAAGCCCAGAGACATGTGCAAAACTGTACATACATTTATCATGGTTGAGTCTGAAACTGAGGTGAATGAGTGCAGAAAAATGATCAGATTTTTCTAAAGCGCTCCGCACCAGTAGCTCCAAGTTACACTTATGTGGACTGGCCAGATTTCTAAAAAGGCGGAGGACCCAGCCTTCCCCATTGAGCTCAATAGGCACTGCTGTAAACTGAGCTGTTTAGAAAATCTAGCCCTTAATCTCCAAGGGTCTGAGCCTGCAAGGGCATCTTGCAGGAAGAACAACCAATGAACTTTGAGCCTGTGCTGACAGTTCTTTGAAATCAGACACAACTAATGTATGAACTTCAAATTACCAAAGTGGGGAAAAGAATCCCCAACCCAACCTCATGCGGTATATGGGGAAAAAAGAGAACAAAAATAATAGCTCTCAGTCTGTAAGGCCCATCATACATATACATTACAGCTAGAGGGAATGTATTATACAGCGGGCATGTCTGGTTCAGGGGGTACCCAGAGATAGCTGTCTTATATGGAGCGGTTCAAAATTCTTCACAGGTTTTCTGGCAGAAACCCTGGGGAAATAGTCTTATTAGAATGTCTTAAAGCTGTCTGTACAGATATCACGTCCTCTCCAGGATGGCATGATTATTTTCTTTGCTGAGACATTGATTCTGGGCATGGGACATCTTCAACGAAATCCACAAAACATATTTTACCGCTCTCCTAATCTGTGTCTAAGAGTGAGGGAAAAAGCACCACTTTGATGTTTTCCAAAGCAGAGAGAGAAGCCAGAAGATCTGTTAGGTCTAATACATTCAGCAAGGAAAATAACTATCTGACAAAGGCAGCTGCTAGAGAAATCAATGGCCAAAATGGTCTCATTCTCTTCTGCACAAATATTTTACATATGTACCACATATTAGCATGAAAATCTCCCATCTCCCACTTGTGTTTTTTAAATAATTCACGAGAAAATAGCTCATGAGTGTTTGTTGTTGTGTCTCATTAAGGCTATATCTATGCTGCAGCGGGGGCAATTTCCAGCTCGAGGAGCCATACGGGCACTAGCTCTGCTCAAGCTGACAGGCTAAAAATAGCAGCGTGGCCAAGGCGGTGTGGGCTGTGGCTCGGGCTACCTGCCCAAGTTCAGTCCCATCTGAGAATGTCTAGCTGAGCTGGGAATCCCACCTCCCCGCTGCAGTGAAGAGGGCCTCTAAAGATGTGTGTTAAAAAGAAATGGGAAGGGATGAATATTTGCTGGAAGAATTTAGTCTCCGGTTCCTCTCTTACAGTCTGCAGACCTGGATTCTTCAAGGCCTCTCCCCAGAGCCCATCCTGCAGTAAGTGCCCCCCTCACAGCTACACGCACGAGGAAGCGTCCACCTCCTGTCTGTGTGAAGAACACTATTTCAGAAGGGAGTCGGACCCACCTACAATGGCCTGTACAAGTAAGCACGCACTGTGTATCTTTTAATCCGTTTGCGCTGTTACACACAAGGAATGGGCACAATGACAAGAAAGAAAGTGCTTTTACAGGCTTTGGGCCTGATCCTGACCTGGCTTGTACTAGTTTTACACTGCTCTAATCCACTGGCTTCATCTAAATTACTCCTGATTTACACCACTGGACTTGAGAGTGGAATCAAGGCTCTTGGCCTCTAAAGTAGGGATTTGATCCAGTAGGTGTTCGTGGAGTTTAGCATGTGGAACTGGACGTGCAGCATCTAGAATTGCACGCTGCTGGTGTGCGTGTGTTGTAAAATATAGTTATTTAGCTATAGATCTAGGTAGACACACTATATATGGGTGCCACTTAGTGTCACGAGTTATTCTATTTCCCAATAGTCAGCTTGAGCAACCAGAGAAATAATGAGGTGTCCAGCACTCCTAGCTACTTCGGGATAGTGATATTGGTGGGAGTTACTGACTCTCCAAAGCTACCACAAAGAAAGAAACCATATGTCCACGATGTTCAGTGGATGAGGGAGGCGAATATTGTAGGGGGAGAAATAACAAGCAGGTTGGTATGTTGGGAGCTGGAGACAAAGGAGAGGGAGAGGGCAAATGATAGTTTTCAATCACTCTTTTCCCCACAAAGTATGAAGCTACCCTTTCGTCTGCAGCTCGTAGACCTGTAGCTGCATCTTGTCCACTTCCTCTTCTAAATACTTCGACCCTGGTCCTGCAAAGACTTACACTTACACACATGCATAACCTCACACTGTCCCACTGAAGTCAGCTTACCACAGTGCATAAGGTTAGGAATGTGCACACATTTTTGCAGGATGAGGACCTTCACTGGGGACTGGGTTTTATAGGATTTTATAGTAGAAAGGGAGTTGAAAGGAACTGAAAAAGTAACTGAGCTTCTATGGATGGGAACAGGCAGGCAGAAGTGACCCTCAGAGATGGAAGAGAGATAATAAAGAGCCAATATATTCAGAACAGCTGGGACAAGGTGAAGAAGGAGCTTCTGCTCTCCATTTTTCTCCTCTCCTTCTACTAGGGACTGTTTTCAGCAGTAGAAGGTTAGATGTCATGATGGCCCTAGAACAGCTGTGCACCAATCAGCACCCTACTGATATATACCATGTCACCGTGGTTATTTGACTAGCACCCTCACTGCAGAAAACAGGACAGGGCAGCAGTTCCCAGGGCAGGTTCTAAGCTGGACAAATTGACAGAAGCACCTTGGGAGAGAGGTGCTAGGGGCTGCGGGGAGAGGTGGGAATAGGTAAGGGCCCGGGGTGGGGGCACCAAGAGTGACTGCTTCCCGCCCATGTCTCCCAATGAACCCTGCTGCCCTTTCTGGCTGCTTCCAATTTGCCCTCGGTTTTGGCCCCGATCCTGTCAGCTGTTGCACGCCGATGAGCCCCTTTGCCTCCAGGGGGCGCCACACACTGAAAGGGATGGCTCACGCCGAACAGCCGGAGGATCAGGGAGCACTGAATGTCTCTCCGTTTGGTTTTCACAATAGAAGGTGACTTGAAACGTGCTGCTCTCTTGAAAGGGCCGTGCGACTCCAGGGCGGGAAGGGGGAGCCTCACATCGTTTGTGATAGGCAATGCTGCGTAAAGGTCATAGACAGATAGATGGAAGAAGAGGCCCGCTAGTGAAGTCCTGGTGTTGTCGGGGTGGGGGGGAAGGGGAGAAAATTTATCTTTTAAAATAAAGACATTCCAAACATAGATAAAAAGCTAGTTATACACGTAGGCCGGTTCGCAAAGGGGCTTCGGGCAAGTTAGCTGCCCAGCTTCCATTGCAAGTCAGTGGCCAGTGAGTGGCTAATTCCCTTGGGTTTCTGTGACAATCCCAGCTGTATAGTGGAAGAGTACATATGTTAAATAGGTCCTATTTTGCCAGCAGAATAAGTCATGCCAGGATGTGCATTAGTAGGATTTGGGGGTATTTCTTGGGCAGATGAAAGTTACAACACCCATAATCTGCAATAAACCCCCTACCAACACACACCAATTTGTGGCTCATTGCTGTAGTGTGAGGACACAGATACAAAGAACCAGACCTTAAGCAGCAACTAGAGAACTCTGTCACCAGGAAGTTCCCACCTTTTTATTAAGCTCCCTGCTGCAACACATCCTGGTCCTCTCTGGTGAAACTGTGGAACTCAATGGCCACTCCACAGTTACATACAGGAAAAAAAAATCCTGCATCATGATTGATTGACAAGAGTCATTTGTTAGAGCCATTAAGTTTCTGTTGTTTACTTCTTTAGGATAGTTCAGTGGTTTGAGCATTGGCCTACTAAACCCGGGGTTGTGAGTTCAATTCTTCAAGGGGCCATTTAGGGATCTGGGGTAACAAAAAAATTGTCAGGGACAGTACTTGGTCCTGCTAGTGAAGGCAGGGGACTGGACACGATGATCCTTTGGGGTCCCTTCCAGTTCTATAAGATAGGTATATCTCCATATATTTTTATCAAAATGTAGGGCTGGAAGAGACCTCGAGAGGTCATCTAGTCCAGCCCTCTGCACTAAGAGATTTCATCTACTTGAAATCTAGTAAAAGGGGTCTTAAAATTAGTTTTACGTATTACATTGCCAAGTCTCCCTGCCAGTATTTATGGTTTTATAATGATGCTTTCCTAACTTTTTTCAAAATGCTTGTCAGTCCCATGTTGCTATGTGAAAGACCCACACAAACAGGGGAAACTGATTAACTCCCGTAAAAGCAAAACAGAAACTGATCATATATGAAGGGCTGTCAAATGCTCAAAGGAATAACAAAAAAGGAGTTGAGAAAGATGTTTTGTTCTTTAATTTCTTTAAGTTCTAGTTTCTTAGAACTGGAATTTGTAACAATAAGTAATATATTTTTTTAATGTGATTTTAAAATTGATGATGCCCTGTTAAATTTTGGAAAAATGTTCTCAGTCAAACTCTGTGTCTTTTTCTCAGAGAAAATTATTATTCAATTCCCAGAAGATAAATAGCTTTTAAAAATAAAATGATAGTTTTCTTTCCTCTTTGGGACATCAATTTAAAAGGAAAGAAAAATAAAAAAACGTATACACTTTGGAAGTTTATGGCCACAGTGGAGAAGTTTTCAGATGATATAAAATGTAACATACAACAGAAGTTTCTGATGAGAACATTTCAGGGAATATTTTGCCCTCAGTAAAAAATTCACAATTCCCTTTAATGTGCGTTGTGATTAAGTATCAGAGGGCAGAATTTGTCTCTGAGAATATATTTAAAAAAACACACCCATTGATTTACTATTTCAGATTTATTGTCCATGAAAGAAAATATGGACTTTGTCTTCAGCCAGTTTCCTTTTGAGTCAGTAAATCATGATCTGGGGTGGGTAAGTCAGTATCTGCTTAATATACAAATTAGCTATCTTTTTTATTATGATTATTTCAGTAAACTAACTTCTTTGGCCTTGACAAAGAGAGGTCATAAATAAAAATGTACCATCTGAGCCGATATCAGGTTCCCTGGTCCTCAGAAAATAAAATAGCAGTTTGTTCTCACCACTGTGATTTTTTTCAAAGTTTTAGTGGAGCAGTTTCAAGATTCTTCAAATAGTACTTGTTAGATTTCTCCAAACTACTAAAGACCATTCATAGAGCCCCTTTGAGAATGCAAATTTTATGGGTTATGGAGTGCCGCTGACTTCAAAGCATTGCTATTGAAATTGATGGTTTTAAGCCTTCAAGAAGAGCAACTGACTCTTCTGTAGAGAGCGAGTAAAAACCTCTGGCAACTTTAGTAAAGTAATAATTTACCTACTGTTAAAGACACATTGTCCAATAAGTGTTTCTTGTGCTTGACTTCCCCCTCCCCCACCCCACATTCCCCCTTAGTTTCCTAGTATACGTAAAGAGTCATCACATAGTGGAAAGAAAAATGGGGCAATTTAACTGGTCAAAAGTACTTGTGTGCAATGCATTTAACTCAGCACAACTCCAGGCCTGAATTTCTGTAGCTTCCGTTGTATCGGTCTGACGGGGCTGCAAGTTGTTTTAACTGTTCATGTGCTGTGCTGCCATTAGCTAAATCGTGCTGGATGCCTGTGGGGTGGTTTGTGAGTGTTAGAGTGGAATCCATAAAGATTCTCAGATACTTTTTGGGGAGCCCTCACTGCCAATTGCCACAGTTTGTGTGAGTTTCCTTCTTTGCATCGGTTTAACTTTTGTTTTCCGGCTTGAATAATATGCAGTCGTTATCATTAGAATGACTGTCGTTCATATGCATGAAAAACTCCCTTTGGCTACAGTAGGAGTTGCACATATGCTGCAATTCATTCCTTACGCTTCTGTCCTGCAGCGACTTGAGCATATGCTTTATTTTAAGCATGCCATTGGCTTAAACGGGACCACTCACGTGCTTAAAGCTATGTGTGTGCATAAACATTTGCAGGATTCAGTTCTTACTGGCCTCTTCAACTCCCCCTCTTTGGACTTTGAGAGCAAACACACAAAGACAAATTTTCATCAATGGCTCCTTCAATTGCATGCACAAATAGGTACTTAGACGCTCAACTACCTGCCTGTGTGTGCAGTTAAGGCAGTCCGGTTTAAAAACGTGATCCACAGAATTGAATATATAACTCCGAAAAAGCTGAGTTGCACTTTCCTAAGCCATTCTTTTTGTTTTAATTTTACATCAAGGGTTGATTTTTTTTTTT